CCCGCCCACCAACAGTCTCTTCTTCACACTGTGGAGTGTGATCTTTTCAAAATGCAAATCTAATCATGTCCATTTCCTTCCTTCCTCCTCTGCCAATCACCTGTTTAAAAATCTTCCATGACTTTCTGTTGCTCTTAGGATAAAGACAAAACTTCACATGGCCTACAATGTCCTGCATGGTGTGGACTTTGCTTGCTTCTACGGTCTCATTGGACATGACATTTTGCTCTGCCCTTCAGCCACTTTGGCCTTCTTTAGAGTCCTTCTTTCTGTTAATGAATTCAAGGGGTTCCCTGCTTGGGGTGTTCTGTTCAAGAACAAGAGGCGGTCATCCTTAGATACCTTTATTTACTTGCAGCAGGTAAAGTAGATGGGATTCACATCCAAAGCTCGCTCATTCTGGAGGTAGGTTTAGCCATTGCTCCTATACACTATTAGGTTAATTACATGTTGATTTCTTCTTTGCAGATGGCTAAACTTACTTGGATTTGGTTAATTACCTGTTGATTTCCTCTTTGCATAATATTGAGTTCCTGATCAAGCTCATCCAGTTATAGCTGCATCTGTAAGATACTGTGCTACATGTTAATGTTTAGCAAGAATAACATTTACTCAGAACTGCCCAAAAGAACAGCCCAAACCCGAGACCCTTGTCCTATCTAACAATTCCTTCTGGAGATCTTTCATTCCTCATTCTTGAGGGAATGGAGCGAAGGGTCCCACTTCTGTAACGGCTTCCTCCTGAATGTGGATGGAGTACATCTTTGAGTTAGAGGAGTGAAATTCTCTGGCTGCCTGACTTATGGAAATCTTGGCGTCCCCTAGGTTCTGGGATGCCTCGGAACAGGAGTGCATAAAGAGACAAAATATAGAAAAAAGCCATTAGGAGTAAGAGCAGACATATTGGACATCGCTTAATCTTGTAGCAGCTTGAAGTCGGATGGGTACTCGGGAGTACTCTGGGTCCTGTTCCTTTTTCTCACTGAGCAGTATAGCTGGCTTCACTTGAGAAAGATGAATTCAGGAAGCTATATCTTGTAGTTTAAGAAAAGAATGAGTTGTTAATAACACCACATGAAGAGCTATCCATAGAGGGTTCTGCTGATCTTGCGGGGATCCTGATTTCCAGGTTTTTAAATATACCCAGTTCCCTAGGTTATATGGGTGCAGTTTAGTATTTGTCGGTGTGGGTAAAATCAGATTAGCATGTTTATTTAAGTTTTCAGTTACCTTTCCTAGGTGGATACCAACAATTAGAAGTAAGATTATAGCTGTGAGGGGTCCCAGGAATGGGACAAACCAAGTTACGTTGGGGAGGACCGATTTTACTGAGTGCTTCCTGCCAACCCCTAAATCATCCCCATGATGGAAACCACTCCAGCAGTTATAAATCCTTTTCCTCTTTTAACATTTTGTGTAAGGCAGTTCCTCTGGTATGGCAGCTTTTCTATTTTAAAGAAGCTCCATTTATATTATTGTTTATATTTTCCCTTTTTTGGTCAATATCTTTCCTTGAAAGCATTCCTGTTATCAGAAAGCAGCACTGATCAGTTATTGAAAGCATCGTTGGTCCTCTGTTGTCAGGTGCTCATTTTGAGTGTGCCATGCCATGGTCAGTCCCTCGTCACCAGGTAGGCTCATTCCCAATATAGCATGTCCCACAGAGAAGAGAAAATAAGTTCTTTCC